GTGCGGCCTCGAAATTTTTTTCTAAAAATACCTCGACGTCCATGACGTCGAGTAGGTCACTGTGGTATATTCATATACCCAATTGAGCATCGTATGAGAAGTTATTACAAATTGTCGGTTATGTGCTTTAAATAACGTTGTTATAGTTGTTTCGCATATAGGTGATACCTATCCCGAAGACGAGCGCATTCAAGGACGTCATGGGGGTTACGACCCTTCGACTTAACTTATCAGTGAGTGGGCAGTTATTTTCTGTTATTACCTATATACTACTGAATTTCCCAGAAATTGAATTTAAATGAAAGTATGTTTTTAAAAAGCCATGCATGCATATTATGAATTATATGAATTAGTAATTGATGCATATATATGTGAAATGGTGTTGTGGATGCACATGTGAGTATCAGGTGAGTTTTATGTTATTCATGTGAACTATCGATGAAGTGAATTGTGTTGAAAGCTCAAACCTGCACCCCTGGTGTTAGTGCTTATATTATTCACCCTGCACTGCACGCTCACCTTGGATCCAAGTAGGTGCATGTCGTACAGACCATGAGAGGGTTCTAACATGTCATACAGACCATAAAGTGGTTTCGACTGTAGGTGATTTTAGATTATTATACAGATGTTGATGAGAGAAGCACTAGAGCGTATTCTTACACCATTCTTATCGTACAGACTACTTCAAGTAGTTCCGATTTATGTGCAGAGTAGTGCCGTACAGGTCACTGTGGTGACTCCGGTTGGTTTGGATATTGAGCTATGGAATTAACCGTACAGGACCAACTGCAGGGTCTCCGGTTGATTCATTATGTCACCTATTATATTGATGCATTCTTAATCTGCTATTGACATTTATAGCATGGCACACTTTCTGGTATTGGATAAAGATTTGTGATTTGAGATATAGGAAGATTTATATGCATATTATGTTATTTTCTGGGAAAGTATACAGGTTTTACAGCGAGGGGTTAGAAATGTTATTAATGAAATGTTTTCAAAAAGCTTTGTTTTACTGACCCACTCAATTTTGTTTTGCGCACCTCCAGGTTCTAGTTAGCAGCGTTAGTGGTCCACGAGGATTCCCACGGCGTACTGACAGACTACATAAATGTAGGACTCACCTTCGGGTGTTGTAATTTAGTTATGTTCCTACTTGAATGCACCTAGTACTTATGCTCTGAATATGTGTGTTTCACACTTAAACTCACTCTAGCATGCCAATTGGATATTATTGCTAGTGTTTGGTTTTTTACTTCTTTGTATTTCTCTTATCTATTGCTTCCGCGTCGCACTTTTGGTTACGTCACACTCACGTGACGGCCAGCACGCCTTGATTCTAGGATCGGGGTGTGTCAATTTTAACATTTAAGCCTTTGTTTGTCAAAACAAAAAATATTTAAAAAATAAATAAATAAAAGCAAATAATGCTTTACACAATGACAAAAATCAATCATATTATAAACTTTAGTGTGAATTCGATTCTCACCGATTTTTTTTTCTCCCACCAATTAATCATCTAACTCCATTAATGCTAACGCTCTATTTCAAACATATGTAAAAATATATATTTCTTAATTTTCTGTTCGGCCTGTGGGCCTATATGGATTGTACATGTCAATAAACTCACTGGTGGACCCTCTCATCTTCTTTCGTTTCTTGGGTGAGCCGGTGGCTTGAAGAATCTAGAAAGACCCTAGATGGAAAAACACAAATCAAGCTGAGGAAATTTCAAGAATTTAAGAGAAGGGAATTTAAAGAAGGGATGTGATATCTACACATCCTTTTTTACTTCTCACACATCTTTTTAATTTTTGACCGTCGAATCAGATGAATTGAATAAATTAATAAGAGGTGTGTGAAAAGTAAAAATATGTGTGAATAGCACACCCCTTTAAAGAATTTAAAAAACAAAACCTTAAAAATTAAATATCTCCCCTCAACCTTGGTGGGGGCCGTAGTGCTCGAGTACGAGAGGAAGAAGATGATGAACAGTCATCTCTTCTTTTTTTGTTTTTTAAGTTTTTAATTATATAAAAATAAAACTTGTTTTTAATTATTTAAATATTTTTAATTAGACTTGTGGAACTCAATTATGTGTCATATCAGCACATAACAAAAATTTTAATGGAGTTATGACAGAAGGATCACATTGATTTGCAACACCTATTTTTAGGGACTACATGATCGATTTTCAATTTCAGAGACCATTTTGAAGGGGTGGGCAAATTTCGGGAACTACTTGTGATAAAAACCCTTTTGTATATTAAGTGGTTAATGCATTTATGTTGTAGTCCAAAATTTTAAGTTCAATTCCTTTCTCTCCTACATTTGTTTGTGGCTTAAATGTCAAAATGGTCCCTGTGTTATAGTCATATGGCCAATTTAGTCCCTGTATTTTTGGTTTGGCTAATTTAGTCCTTGTGGTTGTCATTGTTGGCCAATTAAGGATATTTAATCCAATCTCTTTTAAAAAATTCATAAGAAAAATTATATGAGATATATTACTCTTTTTCTTTACAGAAAAATACAAATCAATGATAAATAACACATATAAGGAATAAAGCTTCCAATCTGTAAAAATGATTAAGGTTGTGACATAGAAAAGAGAGGGGGTAATGTTAGGGAGGAGAATCATTTTTCTTTTAATTTTTAATTTTATTTCATTTTTAAAAATTTTAAATCAAATAAGTAAGTTTAAAATAATTTTAAAAAAAAATTATAGAAATTGGATGGAAATATCCTTAATTGACTAACGAAGATAAACACAAAGACCGAATTGGCTAAACTGAAAACACAGGGATTAAATTGATCCAATTACTGAAACACATGACCATTTTAACATTTAAGCCTTTGTTTGTCAAAACAAAAACAAAACAAAAAATATTTAAAAAAAGCAAATGATGTCTTACGAAGTGACATAAATCAATCATATTATACATTTTTATATGAGTACGATTCTCACCGATTTCTTTTTTCCCTACCAATTAATCATCTAACTCCATTAATGCTTACGGTCTATTTCAAACATATGTGAAAATATATATTTCTTAATTTTCTGTTCGGCCTTTGGGCCGATATGGATCGTACATGTACAAAAACGAAAGGTCCAGAATGCTACTAAAAATGTGGAAGGTACAAATTAAAACTAACATTACACATTGGAAAACAACTCTTACTATAATAGTGACGTAAAAGAAGAGAATGTAGAATACAAGGCACATAAGCCACATGGTGAATAGTATACCAAACATGTACCAAGATTTAGATACATGCCTCTCTTGTTTGATCGGAATGCTACAATATGAGCAAGTAATCTTAAGAGTATGTTTGATAACTATTTTTATTTTATTTTTAAAACTGAGAACTTATTTGGTAATTATTTCAATTTTTCAGTTTTCATTTAAATAACTAAAATAGAAATCTAAAAGCTAATTTTGTGATCTTCAAAATTTGGCTACATTTTAAAATAATTTTTTATTTTTTGGGATCTAAAAATTAAGGAGGTGTATTCAATTAAAATTTTGAGAGATTAATTCTCTGAAAGTCTAGATTCAATTAGAAATATTTTAAAGGGTCTTAAAAAAGTTGGGGAATTGGAGAGATTTCATGATGTATTTTAAGCATTCTTAAATCTCGCCTCTCTCCTTGGGAATTTGAGGGAATTCACTCAAAATTTTACATAGAATCTCTAGAAATCCCTCAAATTTCAATTAAATACACCCCCCATAAAGTTAGTTATCAACCAAGTTATCAAAATAAAAAATGAAATGGTTATCAAAAAGCCCATAAGTTCTAAAATCCGAAATACAAAGTGAGATTTTTGTACTCTCATTTTCTTCTTTTGTATTGTTTCTTGCCTTAGGATTGATTAAATAAAAGGAAACTCAGTGGACAAAGAAATATCTTGACATAAAAGAGAGAATAAATTATAAAATAGTTGGATTACATTTACGCACAATGATTAAAATATATTCAGAAATGTACATAACAAATACATTATCAAAGAGTGACTCACAATTGTAAGCCATTATCATCTCTGATAATTGTCATCTCCCATTCAATTCCTAAACGAGGACGCTACTTTCATTCTCCAGCACAAATTCAAGTCTTTCTCAAACCAAAACCAAGAACACTAATCGTCGTCGTCGTCGTCGTCATTATACTCTTCCACTCGCTCCTCGATCGTCTCCAATTTCGGAGAGCTAGAACCCTTCCATGGAAAATCAAGAAGGGACGGTGCAACCTCAATCCAAGGCTTCCTCGTATGCACGAGCTCCTTCGGCATTGTGAGCTTGTAACCTAACATCATCATAGCTTCTAAGCAAATTTGAAGCGAAATCGTAGGTTTTGACGTCGAAGTTTGTATGTTTTTGTGATGTGGAGAAGATTTTAGGTAAACGGATGCCTCTCTTTCTCCTTTTGGTTTTTAAGGTTGAGAAAGAGAGAGGAGGCTGGGAAGGGATTTCAAGAGATTTGAGAATTGGGGTTTTTGAGTGGATTTAGTTTTGAGGGGGTTTGGGGGGTTTATATACGTTTGTGTTTTGGTAAAATGGCTATGCTCTTAATAAAACCGAAAGCCCAACTTTAGCAAGAGAATTCTAAATGAGAATCTACAGCCCCTTGCTTCTTCCTATTATTCGGGTAAGGACATAAAATCGCCTTTGGCCAAATTGATGCCTAATCATGAATTAGTAGAATTTTGTTTTGACTGCCTTATCTAGGAGGTTCGACCAAAATAAGTGAACTTTTCTATATGAGAAGGTATGTTTTAGGTTGGGAAATGACTTCAAAACACCATTTCCGCTCCTTTTAAACAACTTGTTTATTTTTGTCCATTGATTTTCATTTTACTTGAAATTTATTCAATCTATAGGCGATAAAAACGTGTACGTAGGACCAAAATAGTGCATAAATCAAATCCCTTTGGGCTCCACATTGTAAGGAACTTCGGTTTACCGTAATACATACGTAAATATTTGTTTAATTTGCGAAAGGTCCACACACAAAATCAACATATGATTTTCAGAGGTAACATGAATAATCCAACCATTGTCTATGAAAGTCTAACCAACTTGGATACATAACTAGAACCAAAAGAAGAAAGTACATTGCCTATGAAAGTCTAATCTAATCAACTTGGATACATAACTAGACAAAGCACCTTTGGTCTTTTTTCTGTTTGGTGTTGCCAACTGCTCGTTCAACATGAGTCTCCCAAATCTACATTGGCAAAATGTATCTTATTAGCAGAATTGTTCAAAGGGAAGATATGTTTTAATACTGCAAGTATGCATGCAGCTTCACATACATTCAGCTTTTTTGTACTTGCAGTTTCTTGAGCTCGTTGCAAGTTGCAACCCTGGTACAGATAGTCATTTCCAAGTTTTGCAAGGCTATTTCAAGGATGCAACCTCCATATTTGTATCCGATTCTTAAAGATCCCACAAAACCTCCAGCTTTATCATGAGTTTTCAATTCAATCTATATATTAAAGACATCAAAGCAAGAACAAAACCAAGTGAACTTATAGATGTTTGCTAATTAAATATATGGTATTTAACCTTAACATCTCTCTGCATTATTTTTTGCTTTATTAGTAAAACTCCTCCAGCTGCATATGGTAGACCGGTGCCGGACATGACACAACAGAGCGAGAAGGGATCTTTATATCATTATGATTTAAATCAATAGTTCAAAATGATCACCCTGACAACCTTTTCCACAACAGCATTAACTATGCATCTTTCAGATGATGATAGAAATTTAGAATTCTTTTCAAATTCGAAAGTACACATGAATAATGTTACTCTTATAGCAAAGATTGATATGTCCTAATATCAGGTACATAATTAAAATCATTAGGTCAGTTCAATGTTTGTTGTAAGAGTAACGTTATCATCATTTGAAAGATGCATGTTGATGCTGTTTTGGAAAAGATCGTCAGGAATGATCATTTTGAGCTGTTGATTCAAACCAAGGATCTCACTCTTTTGTGTCACATGTACAACACCTGGTTTACCATGGAGCTAAAACGATTTTACTAATGAAGCAAAAAATGATGTAGAGAGATGTTAAGGTTAAATCTTATATATTTAATTAGCACACATGTATGAACTTTCACATGGTTTTGTCCCTGCTTTGATATATAAAAGTTGTACTTAATCCAGTTTAAATTGGAACACATAATAAAATGATAAAGTTGGAGTTTTTGCGGGATCTTTATGGGAGTCGCATACAAATATGGAGGTTGCCCTCCTTGAAAATGACTTTGTAAAACTTCAAAATACCTGTCTATACCAAGGTTGCAACTTACAACGACCTTGAACGAGCTCAAGAAACTGCAAAAACAAAAAAAACATAATGTATGTGAAGCTGCATGCATACCTACACCATTAAACATGTTTTCCCTTTGAATCAATTTTACTAATAATATACATTTTGACATTGTAGATTTGGGAGACTCATGTTGAACGAGCAACCGACAATTTAGGAGACCATTGTCTATTCTCTAAACAGCATTCTCCAAACATGCTACTAGATGAAACAACAACAACAACAACAAAGCCTTTTCCCACTAAGTGGGGTCGGCTATATGAATCCTAGAACGCCATTGTGCTCGGTTTTGTGTCATGTCCTCCGTTAGATCCAAGTAATCAAGTCTTTTCTTAGGGTCTCTTCCAAAGTTTTCCTAGGTCTTCCTCTACCCCTTCGGCCCTAAACTTCTGTCCCGTAGTCACATTTTCGAACCGGAGCGTCAGTAGGCCTTCTTTGCACATGTCCAAACCACCGGAACCGATTTTCTCTCATATTTCCTTCAATTTTGGCTACTCCTACTTTACCTTGGATATCCTCCTTCCCAATCTTATCCTTTCTCGTGTGCCCATACATCCCACGAAGCATCCTCATCTCCACTACACCCATTTTGTGTACGTGTTGATGCTTCACCGCCCAACATTCTGTGCCATACAACATCGTTGGCCTTATTGCCGTCCTATAAAATTTTCCCTTGAGCTTCAGTGGCCTACGACGATCACACAACACGCCGGATACACTCTTACACTTCATCCATCCAGCTTGTATTCTATGGTTGAGATCTCCATCTAATTCTCCGTTCTCTTGCAAGATAGATCCTAGGTAGCGAAAACGGTCACTTTTTGTGATCTTCGCTAGATTGCTCCGGTCATTAGTGTGGATAAGTATATAAATGGATAGAGATAGGAAAGCAAACACAAGATGTACGTGGTTCACCCAGATTGGCTACGTCCACGGAATAGATGAGTTCTCATTAATTGTGAAAGGTTTACACAAGTACATAGGTTCAAGCTCTCCTTTAGGGAGTACAAGTGAATGATTTAGTACAAATGACATTAGGAAATATTGTGGGAAAATGATCTCGTAACCACGAAACTTCTAAGTACCGGAGTGTGGTATCGTCTTGACTTTCCTCATCTGTCTCATAGGTAGATGTGGAATCTTCTCTGGAAGTACTCTTCCTCCATCCAGGGGTGGTATCTGTAACTGGTGGAGATGCACAAGGTAATGTATCAATGTCACTTGAAGCTTACTTGTAGTTTCAGGCTTGGTCAAGCACGATACAAACCATGTAGTAGGAGTCCCCCAAGTCGCCGAGCTAGGGGATCTGCTGAAAGAGGTAACAGACAAGGTAAGCAATCAGAGCTCCAGCTGATTGTTCACATTCTCCCTATCTTGCAGGCAGCATGAAGGATAAAGAGAAGAAAAATGAGAAGAGATGATATGGGATACTTTTGCTTTTGAAGAAGTAACTTTCCACAGGCTTATTCTTGAACTGGGCTGGAGGGTTTTCTGGTTTCCTCCAAAGTATAAGGCCGACTGAAGAATTTGAGGGTTAAAACAAGTCCATCAAATCTAGAGTATGTTCGACCCTGCTGATATGGGATACTTTTGCTTTTGACAGAGTAGTGGATGTATCGGCACGTGTGCTGTTACGCTTGTCTCCACATGCTTCCTTGTATCCTTCTCACTTGCCCTATCTGTTCCTCAGGCAGATGCGGTATCTTCCTTGGAAGCATAAGATGTTGAAGATGAGTACTCGAGAGCAATGCCAGGGTAAGGGGTTCCAGGCAGTCAGTTCCTGGCTGGAAGCTTGATTCCAAGTGCTGACTGATTGCTCTCTTTCTCCTTGTCTTGCAGGTAAGAACAAGGCCAAAGGAAAAGACAGGGAAAAAGCATGATATGGGATACTCTTGCTTTTAACCCTGATGATATGTTATATTCTTGCTCTAGTATAGCTTGTTTACAGAGGTATTATCGGGGGGAAAGAAAGCTGAATATTTCGAAAGACTTCGTTGGGAGTGCCCTCTCAGATAAGAGGAAGGGTTGAGCATTTTTGCAGGTCTGCCTGTCCGTTGGGGATGGAGGTCGACATATATAGGAGTCTCCCTAACATCAAGTAATAATGCTATTCCTTTACCCTGCTTGGTCATAGCACGGTAGTGGGAGCTGCCAGCTTCACAAGTTTTAACTCTGTCAGAGCACTTTGAAAAAGTGGTCTGTGGTATCTGGAAAGCTGATGTTGCGTGTGAAGATTACAGACAAGCTTTATCCAATGAGATCCGGCTCTTGAAGTTGGGAAAGTGGTGCCTCTTCGGTTTTCGAACAAGCAATCCTGTCGGGGATCTGGCTCTCGAGATTCGGAGAACGATGCCTCTTCGATTTTTGAGAAAGCAATCATGCTGGGGTCTGGCTCTCGAGATTCAGAGAGCGGTGTCTTCGATTTTTGAGAAAGTAATCATGTTGGAAGTCTGGCTCTCGAGATTCGGAGGGCGGTGCCTCTTCGATTTTGGAGCAAGCAATCTTGTTGGGAGTGTTTTCTCGAATATGAGTAAAGGTTGGGCATGTTTACTAGTCTACCTTGCCACGAAGCACAGAGGTTGACACACAGGGACTTTCCAATTATCCAGCAGTGGTACTGTTCCTTTACCCTCTCTTCGATTTTTGAGAAAGTAATCATGTTAGGAGTCTGGCTCTCGAGATTCGGAGGGCGGTGCCTCTTCGATTTTGGAGCAAGCAATCTTGTTGGGGGTGTTTTCTCGAATGTGAGTAAAGGTTGGGCATGTTTTGCTAGTCTACCTTGCCACGAAGCACAGAGGTTGACACACAGGGACTTTCCAATTATCCAGCAGTGGTACTGTTCCTTTACCCTCTCTTCGATTTTTGAGAAAGTAATCATGTTGGGAGTCTGGCTCTCGAGATTCAGAGGGCGATGCCTCTTCGATTTTGGGGCAAGCAATCTTGTTGGGAGTGTTTTCTCGAATGTGAGTAAAGGTTGGGCATGTTTGCTAGTCTACCTTGCCATGAAGCACAGAGGTTGACACACCGGGACTTTCCAATTATCCAGCAGTGGTACTGTTCCTTTACCCTTGTGGGTAATAATATGGTAGCTAGGCCTTCAAAATTTATGTGTCTAAACTTTGTTAGTGTTGTTTCTTTGCTATTCTTTTACCCTTCTTGGTCAGAGCGATGTAGTGAGAGTTGCAAGCTTCACGTGTCTCGACTTTGTCAGAGAACTTTGGCAAAGTTATATGTGGTACCCATGAGCTACTGTTGCGTGTGGGAAATGGGTGATTGAACAGTACGATTCATGTGCTTTCTACTTCGCCAGAAATCTTCGACAGAATGCCCATAATTTCCGCAAAGCTGAGTGTGCGTGTGACAGGTGCTGACAAGGCTGGAAAAGTAGGTGCCTCTTCGATTTCTGAGATCGGCCCTCGTGGTCTCTGAGCAGCCCAGCTTTTGAGAAAGCAAACCTCTTCGATTTCTGAGATCGGCCCTCGTGGTCTCTGAGCAGCCCAGCTTTTGAGAAAGCAAACGCCTTTTCAATTTTTGGAGCTTCGTCGAGTGCAGATTTTTATAGAGGCTGACATTAAGTTCCAAAGCCCACTTGAATATCCACCAGTAAAAGCTCCATTCTTGCACTTCTAAGATCTTGATTTGTCCGACCTCTTCTCTCTTCTACACCTTTGAAAATGTCTGGCCCCTCCGACCGTCGTTTTGACTTGAACTTTGTTGAAGAGGCAGCCCCGCCTTCTCCAGACAACATATGGCGCCCATCCTTCGTCTCCCCTACTGGTCCTCTTACCGTTGGGGATTCCGTGATGAAGAATGATATGACCGCTGCGGTAGTGGCCAGGAACCTTCTCACTCCCAAAGATAACAGACTACTTTCCAAACGGTCTGATGAGTTGGCTGTTAAGGATTCTCTGGCTCTTAGTGTTCAGTGTGCAGGTTCTGTGTCTAATATGGCCCAACGCCTATTTGCTCGAACCCGCCAAGTTGAATCATTGGCGGCTGAAGTGATGAGTCTCAAACAGGAGATTAGAGGGCTCAAGCATGAGAATAAACAGTTGCACCGGCTCGCACATGACTATGCTACAAACATGAAGAGGAAGCTTGACCAGATGAAGGAATCTGATGGTCAGGTTTTACTTGATCATCAGAGATTTGTGGGTTTGTTCCAAAGGCATTTATTGCCTTCGTCTTCTGGGGCTGTACCACGTAATGAAGCTCCAAATGATCAACCTCTGATGCCTCCTCCTTCTAGGGTTCTGTCCAGTACTGAGGCTCCGAATGATCCCCCTCCGGTGCCTTCTCTTTCTGGGGCTCTACCGACTGCCGAGACTGCTCCTAAGCAACCTTTGTGAAGGCTCCCTCTTGTTTGTTTATTTTGACTCAAGTATATGTACATATTTGTAATTTATCGGGGATATCAATAAATAAGCTTTCCTTCATTTCAACGTATTGTGTTAAATTACCAAAGCCTTCTTCGCTAAGTTCTTTGAATTTTCTTTTGTTGAAGCTTGTATGTTGGAGCTTTGTGAGTGGAGCATGTAGGTTGAGGTAGTGTTCCCTTAATTTCCCGAGCGAGGACAACTTCTCGGTTGGAGACTTGGAAAATCCAAGTCACTGAGTGAGATCGGCTATATGAATCTTAGAACGCCATTGTGTTCTGTCCTGTGTCATGTCCTCCGTTAGATCCAAGTACTCTAAGTCTTTTCTTAAGGTCTCTCTCAAAGTTTTCTTGGGTCTTCCTCTACCCCTTCGGCCCTGAACCTCTGTCCCATAGTCGCATCTTCTAATCGGAGCGTCAGTAGGCCTTCTTTGCACATGTCCAAACCACCGTAACCGATTTTCTCTCATCTTTCCTTCAATTTCGGCTACTCCTACTTTACCCCGGATATCCTCATTCCTAATCTTATCCTTTCTCGTGTGCCCACACATCTAACGAAGCATCCTCATCTCCGCTACACCCATTTTGTGTACGTGTTGATGCTTCACCGCCCAACATTATGTGCCATACAGCATCGCCGGCCTTATTGCCGTCCTATAAAATTTTCCCTTGAGCTTCAGTGGCATACAGCAGTCATACAACACGCCGGATGCACTCTTCCACTTCATCCATCCAGCTTGTATTCTATGGTTGAGATCTCCATCTAATTCTCCGTTCTTTTGCAAGATAGATCCTAGGTAACGAAAACGGTCGCTCTTTGGTATTTCTTGATCTCCGATCCTCACCCCTAACTCGTTTTGGCCTCCATTTGCCCTGAACTTGCACTCCATATATTCTGTCTTTGATCGGCTTAGGCGAATACCTTTAGATTCCAACACTTCTCTCCAAAGGTTAAGCTTTGCATTTACCCCTTCTTGAGTTTCATCTATCAACACTATATCGTCTGCGAAAAGCATACACCAAGGAATATCATCTTGAATATGTCCTGTTAACTCATCCATTACCAACGCAAAAAGGTAAGGACTTAAGGATGAGCCTTGATGTAATCCTACAGTTATGGGAAAGCTTTCGGTTTGTCCTTCATGAGTTCTTACGGCAGTCTTTGCTCCTTTATACATATCCTGTATAGCTTGGATATATGCTACTCGTACTCCTTTCTTCTCTAAAATCCTCCAAAGAATGTCTCTTGGGACCCTATCATACGCTTTTTCCAAATCTATAAAGACCATGTGTAAATCTTTTTTCCCATCTCTATATCTTTCCATCAATCTTCGTAAGAGATAGATTGCCTCCATGGTTGAGCGCCCTGGCATGAACCCGAATTGGTTGTCCGAAACCCGTGTCTCTTGCCTCAATCTATGCTCAATGACTCTCTCCCAGAGCTTCATTGTATGACTCATTAGCTTAATACCCCTATAGTTCATGCAATTTTGTACATCGCCCTTATTCTTGTAGATAGGCACCAAAGTGCTCGTTCGCCACTCATTTGGCATCTTCTTCGTTTTCAAAAATCCTATTGAAAAGGTCAATGAGCCATGTTATACCTGTCTCTCCCAAAACTTTCCACACTTCGATTGGTATATCGTCTGGGCCTACTGCTTTTCTATGCTTCATCTTCTTCAAAGCTACAACCACTTCTTCCTTCCGGATTCTACGATAAAAAGAGTAGTTTCTACACTCTTCTGAGTTACTCAACTCCCCTAAAGAAGCACTCATTTCATGTCCTTCATTGAAAAGATTATGAAAATAACCTTTCCATCTGTCTTTAACCGCGTTCTCTGTAGCAAGAACCTTTCCATCCTCATCCTTGATGCACCTCACTTGGTTTAGGTCCCTTGTCTTCTTTTCCCTTGCTCTAGCTAGTTTATAGATATCCAACTCTCCTTCTTTGGTATCTAGTCGTTTATACATATCGTCATAAGCCGCTAACTTAGCTTCTCTCACAGCTTTCTTCGCCTCTTGCTTCGCTTTTCTATACCTTTCACCATTTTCATCGGTCCTATCCTTGTATAAGGCTTTACAACATTCCTTCTTAGCCTTCACCTTTGTTTGTACCTCCTCATTCCACCACCAAGATTCCTTTTGGTGTGGGGCAAAGCCCTTGGACTCTCCTAATACCTCTTTTGCTACTTTTCGGATACAACTAGCCATGGAATCCCACATTTGGTTAGCTTCCCCCTCTCTATCCCACACACACAAAAATAAAAATAAAAATAAATAAAAACCAACATCAAATTAATGTTATCACGTCGTAAGTGGGGCAGTCTAAACTAAATTTGAACGTTAAACTGACAGTGGTAACAAGGATTCTAGATGCGAAATGAACACCGCAACACAGTATTGGTACTTCTACAACATAAACAATGCTTCAAGAGGTGCTTTGCAATACTGTACAAGACAAAGCTTTCAGAAATGAACTTTTAAAATATACAGTAAATTTTTAACAAAAAACAGAAATCATGGAAAAATAGGTAGGGAATGACAAGATGCACTTGAACTAATCAATCGTGCAGTGTTTTAGTTCAAAATACAACTAGGGAAGAGGGTTTTAAAAAATACCTACAAAAATCTCTATGAGAGGTTCAAACAAAACATGTGAAAGCACGGTTAACAAAGAACAACACAAAGTAAGACTTAACTACGACTATAGAGGAAGGATCAGTGACTAGAAGATATAGCAGATTCTAAATCTTCGATTAAAAAAAGTGAAGGTTCATTTCCTCGACCTACAAAAGCATTTATATACTCCGACCGTGGTTATGAAAATTCAATAACAGATTGAACACAAAAGGATGATATAGTGAAACACTACCCAGTTTTCTCAGCTCAACTCTCAACAGCCAAATCCAGTTTTATCTCACCTACATCTGCTTTTGCAGCAGCAAACTCTTAAAATATGATTTAATCCAAATAAAACGCACATATGATTTCTTAAGCCGATAACCATTTACCAAAAGTAACGTTATTTGCATTCAACAGATTAACATTCATATGGAAATCCAAAATTAAAGCGAACAAATCAAAGCATTATAACTACCAAAACACAAAAGCCAAAGTACTTCCGAATCCTAACAGCATCATAATCAACATACCCAACATGCTAAAAATGGGATCCAAAATCTTGCCACTCATCTAAATTACCAAAAGAGTGATTAACGATCTTAACAACATACTCAAAATTAATCCCCAAATTATCCGAAATGACATACACTTCAAAACAAAAATTTAATTCAGCTAAAGAAAAAGGAGCCTCACTGCAGCAGCAGCTCAATCGAGAGGGATTTCGACATCGCCATCGGCGATCTCCTGTTGCAAATCCTTGGGGTCCTTGCCGTTGACCGTGCAGCCCACTGAGACGCAGGTGCCGAGAATCTCCTTCACCGTGCCGGCGAGCTCCTTGGCCATGGATCTGTTCCTCATGACCTTGGCGATCTCAATGACGTCATCCAGTGAGATGTTGCCGCTGTGCTTGATGTTCTTAGTTTTCTTGCGATCGCGCTCGGGCTCCTTCAAGGCCTTGATGACGAGCGCCGCCGCAGACGGCACAACCGAAACCTTGGCCTGCCTGTTCTGGACGGTGAGCTTGACGGTGACGCGGAGGCCCTTCCAGTCCTTGGCGGTCTCCTTGGCGATGTCTTCTCCGATCTTCTTTGGGGAGAGACCGAGAGGGCCGATCTTCGGGGCGAGAGAACTGGCGGCTCCAACCTCACCGCCGGTGACTCGGACGTAGACGTCGACGACCTGTGAGGGATCGAACTTTGGCGGCATTGTAGCTGATGGTGGCGAAGGAGAGAGAGTGAAAAGCTAGGGTTTCCAACAGAGGCGACAGACGGAGTGGGAAATTCTGTGAATTATATGCTAGGGTTTTGCAGGGATGGATATTGTGAACTGCCGGAAATAACCTTGATATTTGCGGAGTTTTACAAAGAGGTTTTTGTGTGTGAATTTGGGCTTTTTGCTGCGATGGTTCGAGGATAAATTCGTCTTTAGGATATGGGCTTCTTTGTTCGTGGTATGGATAATGGCTCTTCCTTGAATTGGGTTTGGGCTTGGTTAAACCACTACTTAGGCTTGACCTACAGTGATTGGGCCTTTTTAGTAATATGTCATGTTTTGACGTGTAGTAATGTGCAACTGTCGTGTTTTGACGTGCGTTCTATATCGTGTGAATTTATCCGCATATAAATTTTTATTCTGTCATAATACTATGATTTAATGATATTTTTCTCTAGTTGATTCATAGCGTGTCTCAACATAAATTCTCACGCACCTTTGAGTAGGATATCATTGTATCAAAATCATAGCTCGTCCAGCTTATTGAGTCAAAAAACATCAGTCATCAGTTCAAGATTAAGTTAAGTGTGTTATTCCTAAAGAAAGAAAGTGGACAGATACTAAGGAGAGGAATGTAATCCCCTGATTTTACTGATCACCTACGGTGTATCTTTTGTTCAAAAAGCACGACATTAAACGAATGTTATCGTCATCCATAATAATTTGTTTCCAAGTCTAAATACAAGTTTCTTCAATCAATTTGGGCCACAACTCTTGGCGTCCACAACGCAAATCCCCAAATATGCGTTTGCCCTAATGATAAACCCTAATTTCATTTCCCTCCAAAATACTCTCACTTTACTTCCCTCAGTCACTCTATCATCCCTCTCATCGGTAAATTCTCTCTGATTCGTACCTGTCATTCAACCAAAACATGAACGAAGATATTGGGTAATGTTGCTTTCTCTTTCTTCTTCAGATGTATTGATTGCTTGCTGTGACTTGTTGTGAATAACCTGCTGAGTGCAAGAATGCTCCAGATTGATTTCTGGCTTTTGAGTTTTTGTATGGATGTTTGCATTGTTGGTTGCTTCTTAGTTCTTACTTGTATTGTCATGTACTGATTTAGGACTTATAAGAAGCCTTGTCATACTGACAAGGCTGTTAGCATCATCAATGGCACTGGCTACCCATCGAAATGGGCAAGTCTTCCAGTAAGCTTTGATGTTCTGGATAAGCTGGTGGAACCCATTGACCATGTTCGTTTTGCTGCCGTTTGCAAGGGCTGGTGTCTTCTTTCGAAAGAGTATAATCATACAACGGGACGCTGGCGTAAGGTACTTCCCATGCTTATGATCCCTACCAAATCTTCTCAAGAAGAGGAGAATAGCGAGACCAACCAATGCCTTGTGTACAGTGTTTATGAAGGACACATCTTCAACAATATTCAGCTATCGGTTTGTGATGGTAAAAAGTATTGTGGCTCTAGCCATGGTTGGTTGGCTGTGGTAGATCAAGGACTAAATTGCCTTTACGTAACTCTCATGGACCCTTTCAGAAAATATCTGGCGCCCATTAATCTTTCTGGCATTGGTTATTATGACTTAAACCCTGATACAGAAGATAAATACATGGATGAAGATCGGTATATGAATTACCTTCCAAAGGTTATCTTGTCTGCCGATCCATATTTGAAACCGAAGGATTATTGGGTTGTTCTATTTTACCAAACGAATTTGAGGTTGTGTTTCTATAAAGCAGGACAGAGATTTTGGTCCTGTTGCAAATTTAAGGAAATAACGTGTATTTCTGATGCTGTATTTTATAAAGGCCAAGTATATACAGTTGGAACTCGGGGAAAAATTGTGTTGTTCGATATCAAGAGCAAAATTAAGTTTCCACAGGTTCCAAAAGCCACACGGCTTACAGGCTCAGTGTTTAAAAGGTGGTCTGCGCTTAAGGCATATCTTGTGGAATCAACCAAGGGAGACTTGTGGCACGTTCGAAGAACTGTGAAACGAAAGGAAGGTTGTGATGGAAATTTGACTGATAGCTTCCAGGTTTACAAGGTGGTGTTTGATAAGAAAGACAGATCGACAGTGGAGCAGGTTGAGGTCAAAAGCATTGGAGATGAGGCTTTGTTTGTTGGTGACAATCATTCGATGTCTTTCTTGGCTTCAAACTTTGCAGGGTGCCAGCCTAATTCCATATATTACACGTGTGATCTTCTGCGTTTTCAACATCCTGAGCGCAGGCCATTTGATATGGCTGTCTACAATTTAGAGAACGAAACCATTACACCATTTTACTCTCCGACTTCTTGGCAGAAAGGCAACCTGCGCGCCGCTTGGATTTGTCCACAGTTTAATGGACTCTGCTAGGCATAAGCTACTCTTCTATTTGCCTTTCATATTTTCCCCTTGTTACTCTCCGTTCAGCCATTTTGTGATCAACAACCTCAAATTAAGGAAGGGTAACTTTCTTTATCTCGCATGTCGCCTCAATGTACTTTTGTCTGTTGGCATGACTGGATATTAGCCTTGATCGTTAATCTATTAGGTACTTGCACTTGCAATCTAATTCCGTATTTTCTAATCGGTTGAAGCATTTTGCTGCATTAGAGTGTTTTGATATTTCAGTTGTGCACTCCTCCTTCATCTTGAAATTAAAATTAGAAAAATTTCGGTCTTATTACTGAGCCTCAGTATTAGAAACCTGGTGCTGCTGCTTTTCTAGTTGTAAAACTACAACTTTTAGCATGTCTACATAAATATCTGAGATTACAATTTACAACTATCTCGGCTCTGCATTTGTTGCGACCATCTTGATTTCGCAGCTGTTGTCGCTACCTTAATTATCTTGGTCATCCGCGATTATCTTGAGCTTAAACTGGGTTCTCGTGTCAAGGAACTTAAAGCTTGAGTGATTAAGTGCATTTTGAGCTTACATCCGTAGTTCTTTGTTTAATTTATTCTCCTCGGTTACTACTTGTGTAATGCCCCGCCCCGGAAATATATATTTCCGAAAAATAATTCCAATGATAGGCCCAAATTAAACTCTGGTTTACATTACTACCTATAATCACGATTCTTTATTTAAATTTCATGATCCCTCACAAAAACTATAACCAAAATTAACTTATCAAAACTTACGATAATTTTTTTTTTATAATTTATCATAAATTTCTTCTCTTAAATCAAATTCTCAACTAAAGATTAAATCTCGATTATTAAGGCTACATTTAACTCTTGTTAGACTGCCTACGTACCTTTTAGCAGGATCAAGCCTTTCGTGGTTCATAATTCCATTTAAATCTATTCCTAGAGCCATTTCCGAAAATATTCTAGAATCGGAAATATTCAACATTAGCTTTTATAATTGAATCATATCAAATGGTTACCAATTACGGAATTAAAATATCTAAATTTGCATAAAAAAGCAACATCGGCCCATTGGTCACGCGCCGCCCCGACTTGCCGGAAAATTTAATTTTTTTTAAAAATTACCAAATTTTACAAAAAACTAGATCTCAATGAGTGGAGCAACTATCTTCTCGTCTCATATGCGCCCATTTTTCTTCCAATTTGGAATTGGATGAGGATCTCCAGTTGGAATTCGAAGAGGATCCAAAGTTAGAATTCATTGCAAACTTGAATTGAAAGAAATTGAATTCAAAGTTGTGTGAATTATACCACAATATCCACTCTATTTATAGCAAAAAAAAATTCAAATCCAATGGCTAGTTGACGTCACTTAGCCGTTGGATTTGAATTTAAGTTGTAGTTTTTAAATAATAAATTATGTTTGATCCTATGGCTCTTTGGCCCTCGGTTTATGATAAAGGCAAATATGGTCATGTATTGTTCATTAAAATATTAATTTATTGGAAGGCCAGAAAGCTAAAATGAGCATTCTGGCCAACCTTCGGTTGGAGATGGCCTTAGCTAAAGCTGAGATAGCTTCATTGGGTTTGCTAGTTTTAGCCGCCACATTCTACTATAAACAAAGCATTTGCGGTGCAACTTTAGGTACAACGAAACAAAGGAAAATATTTTATAAACAAAAAATTTAAGGAGTTTTATTTATTTTGTACATCCTTTAAAATTTTTAGAGTTAGTTTATATGAGAAGGTCTTTTTCGCTTTTATTTTTACTTTACTTGCACGTCGGACGCATGGTCTATTTTGCCACTGATACGAGGTTCAGGGGCGTGAGATTTGCAATCGATAAAAGTGGTCATTGTCTACCGTCAATCATTTTGGTACTTGATGAAAAATCTCCGTTAAATTGAGTGTATGTTTGTCAAATCAACCATTTTACTTGAACTGATGGTTTCTTCAATTTAACGGAAATTTTTTGCATAAAGACCAAAATGATTGATGGTGGACAATCTCAAAGGCTACTTCTATTTTTAAATTTTAGGGACCAAAGTGAGGAATTATGCCAATCTTAGGGACCATTTTAGCTAAAAGACCAAAAACCAATATCACTTGTAACCATATGGGTAGCCCTACTCACACATCCATCTTTACTTCTCGCACATCCATATTAATATTTGTTCATTGATTTTCTTCAATTCATTCGATCCGACGTTTGAAAATTGAAAAGAGTGTGCTAGAAATAAAAATAGATGTGTCGGTAGCATTACCTATAATTTGGGTGGAACTTTGAATCTCAAAGTAGAAGTAATGCCTATTAGTTGTTGATGGGATAACCTGTTGTAGAGTTAGTTGTTCTCCAAGATCCTATTTTGATGCCGTTTTAGTCCTCAGAAGGTAAATGCAATACCCACTACCCAAAAGATCACATTATTGTTGTCCCTCATGATTTTTATATCTAGCACCTAGGTGGCTTTAACAATTCTTTGCAAAAAAAAATTACACAAAAGATATAATTAATTGAGGGCTTAAATATTTTAGATAAGTCTAAGATGATGTTTGATTACCTATTGCCCCCATTCGGTCCCCTTACATGCATATCTTATGATTTAATTAGAATAAAAAAAAAGTTCAATTTGTACAAACTCATATTAAGTTGTTAGATCGTCAATTTGAACCACTAATCAATCATCAA